AGCCACGGCTGCCGCCGCCTCTGTCAAGAATCCGTCAAATGTGGTTTTGAACGTGCTTTCAAACTCAATGTCCGCGGCAACTGCAACAGATTCCGAAGTACCGGATCCATACGACAGTAGGGAGGTGAGCGACAGCCCGCGTCACCTCAGCGTTGAGGAGCGTCGAATAATGATCAGACCACCCTCGAGTGATGGCGATGCAAGTGCCGACGACAAGACCCCGAAGACCGAACAGAATGAATATGGTGAGGAAGAGGAGGAGGGTGGCGGAGCCGAAGAGGAGGCAAGGTCGACCGCTGCCTATGACCTGGACGGAACCGATTCGGAAGGTAGTCCTACAATGGAGGGAGGCCAGTGCTCTCCGAAGATGGTTCACTCGAGGCAAACTCTGGATGCAGAGAAGAGGGCAAGGAAATTCGTCTGCCGTTACTGTCATAAGGCCTTCGGTCTGATGAATGTTCTCAAAGTCCATGAACGCATCCACACTGGAGAGAAGCCTTATATCTGCGAGATTTGTCATAAAGCCTTTAATCAGAGCGGTAAGTGAAAATTATTTAATATATGTACGATAAAAATGTAATCCGACCGACGCCTTTCCTGAAGCTTGTCCTAGTAAGTAAAGTCAAAGTATCGCTTCTATGAAACCAAAGAGGACCGGTCAACTCGTAACTAATCACCATAGAGCAATCTGAAAAACATAAGAAAACTTTGCTGCGAGAAAAAAGACATCCTGACGTATGTTTGGGACAAAGTTCGAATTATCCATTTACTGCTGAATGTTCTAAAGACGAACTACGTCCTTCACTGAAAATCATTTTGAATTATAGCTCCGTCAGACAACATTTCTCTCAGTCAGTAAACAGAGATTGGCCAAGTTGATCATTTGGTGGAATAATATGATAAGCGCTCATGCTATAATCGTAAGGTGAACTTAACTGCTTGGACGAAGGGCGTTTGTCAGAAGACAGTCTGAGAGAAGACAGTCTGACTGAGAAGACAGTCTGGTACATCTCCCAACCGTCATACTGAAAAAAGAAGGAATTTGGCCTCATGAATGGAACCTGTGTATTCTTATGAGAGCAGCCCCGAGGGATTAAGCAGTAGCATGCGCGTTTATCATTGAAACAAAAAAACTTGGACTGTAGCCATATGGCAAGACTTCACTTTACAGTCAAGGAGTATGCCATCTGAAATTTCTTGGACAACAGCCTTCACTTACTTCACCGGCATCTCAAACACAATTTCAAGTTAGATTTCCTTTTCCAACCATTTGGTGCAGGCTACCTTAAGCGATTATTATACTTCTATTTATCGATTGCTCCATCCAAAGTTAAGGCCGCTAAATAGGTTTCCAAGGAACAGTTCTGCAATTTGCACTCTATTTGAGCACACTGAAAAGGCTAATAAAGGCGGACGAAGTAATTTAACATATCATGAAAATCAAAACTATCTCCGAGCTCGCGCTTTTCTCCACTTTTCTAAGAAAGAGAATTAATTAGCACGGTCATTCGAGTAGTAGCATTGCACAGCACAGCTAATTTGTAAGCTATCAACGAAACCACTTATCTTCTTCAGCCAATCTACTTTCTTAGAGAGCAGTTTCACTAATAGTAAGCGAAAGTGGTTAAGATCACAACAGTAATATTACGGTATTCCAGACTGTCAAGTAGAAGCCTGATAGTCACTTTAGTTATTACTTTGAAAGTTATTGCGCAATAAGAACCCGCCTAAGAGCTACTGGAAGGAAACTGCAACCATTTTTATCCCGACAGTCATGTATATTACATCAGTACAAGTAAGCTCTGAGTGTTTTGAAACCTGTTACCGTTTTAATTTTGATTATATCCTGTAAAACGGTATATTCGTCTTATATTGCATGTCGTACATACTAGTATAGTGAGACGTATGTATAAAGATGTCTGTTATTCTCAGTCAGCCTGAACATGGTCTCTCAGCGAAGAGTTTTAACCATAATAAGCATGTGTCCAGATATCTATACTGAACTCTCCCCAGGCTCCGTCTATATCAGCTCGTTTTAAGCGGCTGCTGATAACAGGAAACCGGCATCCTAATGACACATTAAAAAGACCTATTGAGGTGCAAACCCCCAGTCCCCAATCCTCTTTTCCTCCTGTTCACTTCTTTTACTTCCATTCTGAACACATAACTGGAATTTGCGGAATCCGAGAAATGTGACTTTCGGCCATTCGACCCTAAGATAGACAAGCTTCTTTGCTTTACGTGAGTTTAATTGCACTTCCAACTACGATAGTAATTACTTTATACAAAGAAGTTCATAATAGAGGATGGAGTCGTACAAAGAAGTACGTCACAGACCTCAAGTTAATACCTCCAAGCCGAGTCGTCCGGGATTCTGGAGTTCTACTCCGTCCACAGGCAAGCGTCTTCTGCCTCGTTCTCTACTCGGCTTCCTATAGTTCGTCGACAGTAAATACTCACAAGATTCACAGTAGCCATGTTTCCATCTTTGATAAAGCCTGATCTTTAGTAAACTAATAGCAAGATTTGGGAATGTCAGAGTAAAGTTTTTTGGCGGAACTTTACACTCCCAAAAGTGACATTGGATGTGCGAACCAGAAGCAGTTTACACGGACGAGACTGAGACTACAGTGCTCAGTAAGCAAGCATACGCGCAAACTCATATTTTGAGGCGATTAAGGAGTAGTAGTAGTCCATTAGCGTCAGTCGACAGACCTTTCTTTGTTTTCATCTACACCTCTCCCCCCATATTCCCATCTTTCAAGCGTCTAAGTATGCATAGAGCTATTGTTCTACAGTTAAATAGGGCGGAATTACCGCGACTGTCTTTCACACAGGCAAATTTGCCCGCAAACAACAGCGTGCCCTCAGACCTATTCTCTC